AAAAAAAAAAAAGAATAAAATATCTATCAGACACTGATAATTTTTTATCAAATTTTCAGAGACTTTCTTATGAACAAGGACCTATGAATGTCAAACAACTTTCATTATTGACAAGAATAGACTCTTACCGAGTTCTTTACAAAAGCCAAACAATCTCATGTTGCCTGAGACTTCCATAACTATTACAGTAGAAAATAAACTAACCAATCTGACAGTCTCAGAACTAAGAATTCATTTTAAAAATACATATAACTCTTATTTATCCTTGTTATTTAAATAATTCATTAAAGGAATTATTTTAAAGCAAGCCACATAAATATGGGATTGATAAAGGAGAGATCAGTTTAATATTAACAATTTAAAAGTAAATTAGAAGGTAGAGGTGCCTTTGCTCTAGAGGTCTGAGTCTCCTTTCCCTTAAACAGGCAAACAATACAGCTTCTAGAAGTCCAAAGAAGGTGTCTCCTTAGTAACTGCAGAGGGGAGAATTTTATACTGCAGCCTTCACCTGCATCCACCAGCTATTACTTGAAATGCATTAAAGTATTCAACTTCACTCAAGTAAAGAGTTCCAGCATGTGGGTATTATCTGCTTCAGTTTATAAGCAGCATTATATACTTAACCTAAAAATAAAGGCCTTGGGCTTTCATAATAAGATTTAAAATGTTCTATGAAGAAAATTTCAGGAGAGATTCACTAGTTAAGCAGCTGTGAATAAAGAATATGATCAAATACAGTAACTATTTTAAAGATACTTTTTCCTAAAAGCATTAGAGATATCACTATTGAGTACACTGGTTTGTCTTTATTGTATATAAGCTACATCTTCATTTCTATGTGCCAATTTCTTACCCAAGACAATGAAGAAAAATAACTGCAATACACTATCCCAGCACAGAAGGACAAGAGCTATCTGAACATCCCGTATAACACATCTGGTCACGGTTAGACTTCCTAACTAAAACATTTTTAAGCTATAAATTTATGTAATATTTATTCATCTTGGTATACCTAGCATCTTTCACAGTGCACTGTCACTCATAGTTCAGAGAAAGTGCTATCATCTCCAAATCTTCTCATTTCTAAGTTTCTTGGACTGCTTTAAACATAAAATAGAGGTTACTCTGGATAGGCAAAATAACAAAAACGTTAGTAACAAAGCTAATGGACACTCCTAGGAGATGAGTGGTACATTAGGACAGGATCATTAAAATCAACCTTTATTTGCTGGTTTAGAGTTTTCAAAGCAAGATGAAATGAGAACAATCAGACAGTGCCTTACCCTTTCTATTGGTGAACCACAGCATGCAATGCCGAAACATAGCAGTGGCAGATGGCATTGGTATTATTAACTATAAAAAGGATAATAGCAGAGAAATGACAGCTGGCAGACAAGACACAGAAATGCAGATGAAATGAATGCAAACTTGTAGTTCTTGAAGCAAAGCAAAACCTTTAAGCCAAAGGTTGCCACTAGCTTCAATTTAATTTGCATTTTGATTTTTACATGGACAAACACTGCAACCTTCACAATCAGTCTTTAGACTCTTCATGCAGAAGCAGAACCATACTCCTTGATAAAGAAGATCAGCAACCTTCTGTAAACACAAGCCAGCAGCAGCAGCAGCCCATTACTCTCTCCCTTCACTGATTTTTATTCTTTAAATTTTTAATCTCCAATTGCAGCCAGATCCACAGTCGTTTCAAATAGATCTGTATCCACTGCAGATACAAATCCCTGCCTAACCTGCAGTACCACTTCATCCAGAACGTTCCTGTGCGCTCGTTCATGCAGGATCAGTTGCAAAACCATTCAAGTCATCCAGCAAACAACCCAAAAGAGAAGGAAAGCAGCAGTTGGGACTATGAAGAGAAAGAATCTCTTCTTTCAGCTCACCCTGGAAATGGAAGGTTTTCTGATCAACAGTTATTGTGAAGGTGCTGTCGTCCTCATCGTCTATACCAATCACAGCTCCCTGTGAAACAAAGAGCAAAATCCCAATAAGGCAAACAATGACATCAGCAATATTCACTACTGCTACAGCCCCGGAATACTCAATGCACCGATGACACTAGAAGCAGGCTAGACACAAAAAAGGGGAATCTGAGACTCTAGTTTTGCTTAAAGAGGAAGAACTAAGGGAGAGGGGATAACAGGGCACTGTAGTACCTGGCATGGGTACTTTCTATCCTAGCACAAGGGGCATGGATGTAATGTGAGGGGAAAGGGAAAACCATCGAAGCTGAGTCTAGATTCTGTGTTTAAGAGCCAGCCACTGAGCCTTTCTGAGGTTTAGACTGCTCTCTAACATGGGAGTCAGAAACCTCCACCTCACCAGGTTGTTGTGAGGCTCAAAGAAAGCAGGTGCTCTTCATCAGGCTGCTTCTGTGGTTATGCTTGTTAGTGGGAAAATGCCAGGTGACACGTGCTTCAAAACACTGTCCCAATCACTTCTTCCAGATGCTCCGATAACCACCGGTACATGGCTCTGCTACTGCACTTTCCACATTATACTGTTAACCTATTTACATGTCTGCCTCCTCCTACTAAACCGCTATGAGATCTTGGAAGTCAAGAACTATTTTATTTATTTGGATACATGGCACTCAAGTACACCCTCAGTATATGTTTTCTAAATAAAAGCATGAACAACTCTGCAAAAGGGGGCAGGGGAGGGCTGCATTTATAACTTGTTTGTTTCAGGAGAGTGGGTTTTAAACCTTTATTTTTCTGTATTCCACTACACACAGCCTATTAAGAAAGCAGGAATTAAGGGAAGAGACAGGAAGCTATGCAAAATAGAGAGTCTACTGGTCAGCGTCCTTAAGAAATAAGTGTCGTAAGTATTCCAGAGAGAAAAGCTAGAGAACATGGGATAGGTTAAATGCCCCAGGATGGTGACAAAAGAAGCACTGTGCCACAGACAAAACCAGAGACCTTGAAAATGGGGGCTGAAAAGACTCAAGGGGCCAAAATATCTAATCCCGTGAAAAAAGGCTACGTAGGGGGACTAGTCCTATCCTAAGAGAAATAGGTAATAGAGCCAAACATTTATTTATTTCTTCCCAGAGGCTGGCTGGATGAACCCAACTCTATCCAAATTCCACCTACTTGAATTATCTTAGTTATTCCTCAGTGTCAGACTGGGTAGGGATTTTCATTCCATTTTCAGATAAGGAAAGTGTCTCCAGAGAGTATTATGACTTACCCAAGGTCACACAAAGAGTTAATAGCAAAGCCAGAACCGTTGGCATGGTACCTACCTATTCCATGATAGCAAATGTAGACATACCTCAATGGGTAAGCAGATGTGGGAGCAGCTCATTCTAGTTAACCTAATTTTGTGGTTAACCGAGTTAACCTAACTTATGATGTATCAAATATTTGCTAAGTCATAACTAAATACAAAAATATGCGCTAGATACAGTTCTGGAATACATAACAATAGTCCCTGCCCTCAGGCACTATTATATTCCAATATATTCTGTTATATTCCAGTGGAGATAAAACATGCAAAGAGGTGAGTATACTACAAGGCAAAGAGTGATCTCTGCATGGATGAACTTTGAAAACATCACGCTACATGAAAGAAACTAGTCACAAAGACCCACATGTTGTATGATTTCATTTATATGAAATGTCCAAAATAGGCAAATTCATAGAGACCGAGAGTGGATTAGTCGTTGCCTAGGGCTGGAGAGGTTGGGGTAAAATGGGGAGTGACTGCTAATGGGTATGGGTTTCTTTATGGAGTGTTGAAAACATTCTAAAATCGATTGTGGTGATGGTTGCACAACTCTGTGAATGTATTAAAAACATTGAATTGTATACTTTAAATGGGTGAATTGTATGGTAGGTGAATTATATCTCAGCAAAGCTGTTATAACTCACCCCAATCCCAAATGTCTGTTCTCTCTTTTGGATCCTTTAACATAAATTCACCAGTTATCTAGTAAACTTAGATAGAAACTTCTGGGTTCTATACATATTCTCCTTCATTCCATCACCAAAAGTTGTGCTCATTCCACCTCTGAACTATAATCTCAAATTTGCCAACTCTTCTCCATCCTATGAATTGCCTAATTCAGGCTCTTATTTCTTGCTTGCTAAGGCAATTTGTCTGCCTTCAGCCTGTCCACCTTTCAGTCCACAGTCCTTGCTATTGCCAGAGTAATATTCCAAAGCACAGACTCTTACAGGAGACCCAGACGTTTAAAACCTTCCTTGGCTATCCACGAACTATTAGATAAAGTCAACATTTCTTCATAATACCATTCAAGACTGTTAAAAATCTGGCCCAACCAACCCTTTCACTGTCATCACCCAGCCCTTCCTCCTCACCTCACAGAGACCCAGTATGTACCTAGCCTCAACACTTCTTCCACGCACCGAAAAAAAAAACACCAAGCAATTTCACTTTTTTATGTCTTTCCTCAAGTTCAATTCCCCACCATTTGTTAAACAAAAGCAAAACCCCACATCTCCCTCTAGCTACCACCTCTTCTCTCACTGCTTTTACAGAGGAGCTTTTCGAAAATTGGCCATGCCTTAACCTTTCATCCACTCCTGCAATCTAGCTTCCTTCCCTACCACTGCACCAAACTGCACTCTCACAGGTCTCCCATGACCACTTTACTACTCTCTAGTTTTGTCATACGGCACCACTCTGAAGCACTGTTGCTGCTGCTGACCACTTCTTTCTTGAAACTCTAAGTGTGCTTCAGAAACATTTCTACCTAAGTACCTTTGACAACCTATATGGGAGAAAGCACTCCTTTCTTGTCCATTACATTTTCCTCCTCCTCTATCTAAAGGCTTCTTTGAAGACTTTGGAACCTAAGTAACAATCTCCCACTCCAATCGGGTCTTGCCATTACCTGGAGCATTCTTCACTTCAATATGCAGATGTACAATTCATCTGACAGCCTGGCCTCTCAGTTTCTTCATTTGTTCAACTCAAATAACTTCACTGCCATTCTCCTTCAGTCACTCACTCCCTGTGGCAATACCTAAACCTGCACTATCCAATATGATAGCCATTAGCCACATGTGGGTAATTAAATTTTAATTATAATTCATTAAAATTAAGTAAAATTAAAAAATAAGTTCCTCAGTCAGACTAGTCATATTTCAGATGCTCAACAGCCACGTGTGGCCAGCAGCTATGAACGAGGAAGTACAGATAGAGACCATTTTTATCACTGCAGAAAGTTCTACTAGACAGAATTGCCCTAGATCTTCGGCATCATAGAGAACCAAACCACAGTATGTTAATACTGCCGGGTAGTGAATATTTTCAATGAGCCAGGCACTACGATAAGCATTTTACATATACTGTATAATTTGAAAACAACTTTATATTGAAAGGTAACATATAAACAATAATAACTGTACAAGCTCAAGGAAGAGAAGCTCCCCCTTATAAACCTTTCCTAATCATTGGCCCTGCCCTCCATCCCAAAAGTAAACACCATCCTTAGTTCTAACATCACAAATTAGTTTTGTCTGTCTTTGAACTTTATACAAATGGACTCATACCATATATTTTCTTTTGTGTGGCTTCTTACACCCAAGTTAATGTTTATGAAATTCATCCAGGTCGTTGCATGTACCAGTAGTTTGTTCATTTTTATTGCTATATATAGTATTTTTCTGTACAGATATCCACAATTTATTTATCAATTCCACTGCAGATGTACATTTATGTTGTTTTCAGTTTTAGGTTATTAGAATAATGCTGCTATGACATTCTTGTGTGTGTGTGTGTGTGTGTGTGTGTGTGTGTG